TCTAATTACGATTAATTCATTAATAATTATTCGCAGTATAACAGGATACGTTAAAATTGTCTAAAAACTCAACGTGCAAAATCTTTCGACAAAAAGAACATTACATTTACTAGTAGCATGTTTTGTCTAATAAGGCTCATAATGTTTATAATATTTAGTTTACAAGTATTTAAATTTTTCACTAAAAAAAATATAATGCTTAAAACTTGAAACCATGGTTCACATGTCACATAGTTGAAGGTGTGCCAAATTTTTATCTTGGTTGAGGAGGTGGCAAGCTCCCTCCACTAGTGACACCATGGCCACACCAAAAAATTGAAATATTAAATTAGTTTTGTGATTTTACCTAATTTAGCAATAATAGAAGATAATGAAATTTAATTGAGAATGGGATTTGTCATTTGTCTGCAATATCATCACCATGTCAGCACAAAGACAAATTGGGAAAAAGAAAAGAAACATCGAGGGAGAGGGAGGAAGGTGAGTCATGAATGAGGTCCTAAACTCTGACTCAGCCATGACTATGACTCAAAACTATAGCTGGCCTGCCCATTTCTAGATGCTGCATGGGGGGTATGGCCATGGCATCCATGCATAACATGGCGTGCATGAAATAAGACCTGTGGATCATGAAGAGTTTGAAAAGGGTTTTGGGTTTTAGGAAGTGGTGGGCTGGGTCATCATCCGAAATGGACAAGAAGGGACCTGGGTCCCACTCCACGTCAGATGCCCCATGGCGCCGTGTTGGAGTTTGAATTTGCACGCCAAGAGGCAAACAAAGGGGTTCGCTTTGCTCCATTCAAATACGTCTCTTCCATGTGCTCAAAAAGCCCTAGTCTTTGATCTTAGCATGAGGGAAGAAGATTTTGTTGACCATCTGCAAATTACCAATTCCTCCATTAAGTTCTGAGTTTAGGACTTTTAAAAAATTGATAATATAATTAAAATGAATTTAAAACCACATCAGTTTTGATATAAGTATAATATTACCATACGAAATACGAGTAGTCCGTTCGAACAGTAATCTTATAAAACCAAAATTGATAATATATTTAAAATCACATCAGTTTTGATATAAGTATAATATTACCGTACGAAATACGAGTAGTCCGTCCGAACAGTAATCTTATAAAATCAAAATGTATGACTTTTCTTCTTTGTTTAACCTGCAAACTATATTTTCTATTTGCAGTCATCGAAAGTTTCAACTTTCAACCAAGTAGACAACTCTAGACTATTAGACCAGACATTAATTTTTTCTTATGACTTTGTTGGCCTCATTAGACTTCCCTTATCATGCTTTAATGAAAGAGGGAAAGAAAAACATTGTTTTGTTTGTCTCAGCAGCCATTAGTCTCGCCTGATAAATTGTTTTAGTCATGTGTTTGAAGCTAAGAATTCTTCCCTGCTTCCCTGCTTGTAAATATAAATGTTTGAAATTGAAAGCGACAATTGACCTAGCTGCACCAGCCGGCATGACTTGTCTTATTCTACACGTGAGATATTTTTGAGAAAAAGAAAAATAAGTTACACACACAGACACAAACGAGAAAGTTAGTTTGATTTTTGAGTACATATGACTGTAGAACCCTAAAATGGGGAGACACCAACGTGCGTATACTTCAGCTGTTTTTGACATTTGAATCCTGGATAATGTTTTTTACTTATTTTATAGAGGAAAACAATAGTAAAGAGATAAGGTTTGAGGTTTTTGTTCATGAATGTCATGATTATTTTTGCTTTTTGACTGTTTGCGAATAATATGTATTTTTTACTTTTTTAGTTGAAGTAAGTTTTCATCTCCATCATGAAAAGACTGCGACATTGTTTTTGCTTTTCCCTTTTCTTTTTTGCCAAGCATGAAAGACGTTTACCAACCATTTCTCTAGAGGAAAAAAAAACAAAAAACAAAACAAAAGAGAAAGAAAAAAGGACTTTTACCAACCTGGTATATATGCACGTTTGCATGTATAATTAGGGAGAGCTTGTAGCATGTTTAATTGCTTCTTTCTGCCGTAAAAGTCAAATGTAAGTGTGCTTAATGCATGTAGTCATTTGAGGTCTTATTTGTTAACTTGGCTCCAAATATCTAATACCACCTCATAATATAACTCTCCAGATTCATTTATTTTATGGTTTACAAACCAAATTTAGTGACAACCCTCTAAGCACCACAAAGTGTGAAGCCATCATATCTAGGGGATTGAATAACTTGACGTCCTCAACTCTGGCTTCCAAAACTTTGGTGGGACCGTGGGAGTATCAACTGTTACTTCTCTTTTCAATGTTAAAAGATGTCTCGAGTTTAATTTTTTACTCAATTGATGATTAAAATAAGATTTTGGTGAGTTTTAAGGCGTCGTTTGTTAAGGGGGGAATATTACGACTAGACTAGCAAAGTGGCTACATTTCATGTGCAATCAAGGCACAATATGAAATGTATACATTTTGCTAGTCTAGTCCTCCCTATCAAACAAGGCCTGATAGTTAAGCTTGGGATGGTATGTTGGGGATAAATCCAAAATATACGAGCCTATTCTAATCTTTTACTAGGCTAGGCCTTTTTATGTTTGGTCCAAAGATTGATGATGGGCCACAATCACATATATCACATCCATACCTCGTTGCAGGGACGGTTCGTCCATAATCATCCTCAAAACAAAGACGGGTATGAAAGATTTGCCAAATGCAATAAGACTTAGAGCCGTGCTATGTGCATGGCTGACCTTAGCAAAATCCTAAAACGTACGAGCAAACGATGGTTTTGTAATTGTTTGTTTAGCAACTATAACAAAAGAATGCCAATCCTCTCTCTCTTTTGGGTAGCCACATTCTCTTTGTAGAGATAGTTGAGAAATTGGGCTGGAAGTTGGCATAAATTCTGTATGGAAGTCAAAATCAAAGCCTAGTATGGGAAAACTTGTTGGGTTTAAAGCTTCAAAATATTAAACTATATGGGCCTGATAGATAAAATCTGCTGCAATAGAAACCAAGCATCTGATTCTAGAAAGTAAGGCGAAGGAAAGGACGGCCGGCTAGGAATTAACCAGAAACCTCCTGAAGAAACCACTGATATCAGTCTCCACCTCTCCTGTTGCATTTCATTCTCTGTGATGGAAGGTTGCAGCTTCCAACTTACAAACGTCCATATAATTAGCACACTTTGAGAGCAAAACTTCAATATGCAATCAACCCATATAAGCAAAGATGAATTGAAATCCCTATATTTTAGTATTACATATCAATTCCAACAAACAAGCATTAAAATTTGTAGTTTATTCTTGTAATATATATATAGAGATCATGCAAATGATAGGTAAAACATGTCGGATTTTATGCAAGATTAGAGAAGAGAATGATAGAGACAAGATGAACTCATCAGAGGTCTAAAACTCAGACTTGATTCAATAACTTGAGGTTTGTCATTGTGCATGCATGATGCATGAGATGAGGTATTAACTTTGGACCAGTTTCCACAGAGGAGCATCAACTGATGATTCTTACAGTACAGATGGATAGAAAATTACCCCAAATCCTTAGCTTATTTTTGGGAATGATATGATCCAAAAATTTATTAAAAAGAAAGATACTGAATCCCCTCCCTCGCACGCGGTTGATTCATTGGCCGTCAAAGTCCTATTGTTATTATTATCATCATCAGAGAATGCTCCAACTTGGACTTGGAACGTTGCAGTAGTAGCTCTGGACATTGGGTTCCGGAATTTTCACGTCTTTCGACTGAAGCTTATACCTGTAGCAAACCGAAATCTCGAGCACAAACAGATCTGTGGTGTAACCATCCGAGATTTTGTTGGCCACGTCATCAGCCACGTAAGCATCGAGCGTGGAGAGTTTGAAACTAACTAGTGTTTGGTTGGTGGTGGTTAGAAGCAAGGGACTCAACGACGTTGCTGCGAGCAGCACACGTTGGTACGTTTGATCTAGCTCCGTAATATGTTGGTAGACGGGACTGTAGTAGAAGAGCGAGGCCTGGAGGCTGTCCTGGTAGATGTCCCACTTCTTGTTGGGGTTCATGGCTAGGAGCGTCAGGTTCCACATGGCGGTAAACTCGGAGGGGGTATTGTGCACGCAGGGCCGCTGAGTGGACTAGGAACTCAGGGTCATACCCTCTTGGAAGCGTCAAGAACAAGGTGAGGACCAATGGGGCTAGAATGAAATAGGGGACCACGATACTGTACACATGATGCAAAAGAACGTTCCCTCACAGTCGAAGAAGGGTTGCCGTATGGGCTGATCATTAGAAGCGGAAGCCGGGATTAAGATGTTGGTGGCTGCTTGGACTCCGGTAGTACTAGTAGTGCCAACCGTGATTTTAGAGATGTTGGTGGCTTCTTTTTCTTGGACTTTGGCTTTGGCTTTGGGTTCCGGTAGTACTAGTACTAGTAGTGGCAAGGCAACCATAATTTTAGAAAGATTAATATTCAATATTCAGGGGATAAGTAAGGAAATCTGATTGGATAAGTTATAAGGATACACACACATATATATATATATATATCTATCAGAATTTGAAAAACTCATGGAAAACTTTGAAGAAGAAAAATCAGAATCCGTTAAAGAAATAGAACAACAAAACTAAATCTCCTTTTCTTTTCCCCACTCAAGTTATATAATTAATCTAATCAAGTAGCATTAAGTATCATTGTATCAATCATGAATCATCACTCTCAACAAACATAAATGTAATTTCACACAAAGCTTTATCAAATCAGTTTCATCACTGTCAACAGAACTGGCAAATCATCATTGGCAAGACGGTTTGCTAAGAATGATCTAACTGAAAAACATCTCTTTTGTGCATTTTACTGAGAAGAACCATTTTTCTATGTAATAATGAAGAAAAAAAAATTCCAAGTTTTGATTTATGAAAAAAAAAGGAGTGAAAAGTAAGAAAAAGCTGAGTTTAAGAGAGAACCAATCATAGCCCTCCTTCCCTCATAGTGCAATGATTGGTTGGTTGGTTGGTTTTACAGCATCATCTAAGGAGGGCAATGAGCATTGACATGGTAAGACGTTTGAGTTCCTCTTGGGGAGTCTAGTTTCTTGATAACCTTTGTCCTTGTTTCTAGTGCATCATATATTCTCAAAACTTCTGCTTCCCTAGCTTCAAGCTTCAAATCTTGTTCTCTTATTGTTTGAGATTGCCATCTTCCTTTCCTCAAAAGCTTTTTTACCTTTCTCTGAAGAAATCCATTTTCTGATTTCCAATACTCGAGTTGCTCCAAAACTCCCAAATATTCTACTACCAAATTTTCAAGCATTTGGCTCTCAGCCTCTATGGATGAAACTTCTCTGTTCAAGAACTCAACATGAGCCATTTCCAATAACAACATATTCCTCAGCTCCACAACAACATATTCTTTCTCTTTCAAGTCACAGTAGCGGATAGATTGCATCTCCAACTCAGATTCTCTATTTTGAAGATCATCAAGTCAAATATCTAGGAGCGAAATCTCTTCCTCCAATTCGGGTTTCTTATATCGAATCTCCAAACTTTCTGCCAAATTCATGACATTGGCATCCATGATAATCGGTTCATGATCTTCCATGGAAAGCACATATCTAGAATTGAAACTATGAAAGCTATCCCCATCTCTAAGCCTTGGAGAAATATTGGTCTCTGGGGGATCTCACCTCATCATCATCAGTTTCTAATAAAGACTATTTAGGATTAAAACTTCTTTTAGCCATAATCCTTGCACAGATGAAACCAGCCACAGACAAAGCTAAAGGAATCCGAGCTTTATGCAGCATATGCTTTATGATGACTTGTACCTTCGATGTTGAGCTCTCCATCTTACAAATCAAACTCAAAACGGAATTACAAGGGGAACTTGGTTTCTTGAATGTTAAGAATTTTTTTTTATGGTGGGCAAACTTGGTTTTATTATAAAGCTAATTATTATTCTTTGCCTTTGTGTTTTGTTTTAGCTTGCCTTAAAGAGATGTATAAAGGTCTCTGTTGCCTTTATATTACACTATCAGAGGCTGAGAGCCCTTTTGTGTCACTTTCATTCCACTTTCTGCTTGGTGCTTTTTAGCCAGCCTTCTCAAGAATAGCAGTCACATTGGTTCCTGATGGGGCTGGAGCTGCTACTGGAGATTGAGCAGAAACTGTGGCTGAGTGGAAGAAGAAGATGATCGAAGTGAAAAATGTAAAGAAAGATAAGGCTGCCATCCCTTTTTTCTTTCCTGGGGAAGATTTTTATGTTTTTGGCCTGGTGGGTTTTGATCAGAACAAGAAGAAGGTGGAGGAGATGGGCTAAGGTTGGAGAGGAGTGAGGGTATATATTTTGTGGGTGGGAGTAAAAGAGAGTGGGAAGTTAGGTGAAAGAGAGTCATTTTAAGGTAGCAAGACAATGTCATCTGAAGCCAAGGTGCATCTTTTTCTTGGCAAGTAAGAGGAACAGTGGAGAGAGAGAGAGAGAGTTTTGCTTAGTCCACTTTCAAATGCCATGATTTTAATAACATTCCTGATTAGGAGGGATTTGCATGCATGTTGACGTGTCAAAGTCTCGTCCCTTAGACCTCACTCCAACTCCACGTGTCACCTGCCGAAAATACTACGAAGACTCGAAAGCAAAGCAACCATGACAGGTAAAATTATTCAGGAAGGAAGTTGGAAGCTTTATCCCATCCGAGCTGCGATAAGAGAGAAAAGTAAATTGTTTCTTTTTTCTTGCTCTTGGAGATGGATACAACCCCAAGCAAACAAAGCTGATGCAGCTGCAAAAGATGTCAAGAGGAGGTCCTAGTTTGCTTTGCTTTCCTAACGGCTCTGTGGTGTTTCTATGGTTGTGTCTTCAGTGTTTGCTTTGTTTTTTTTTCTAAGGCCACTGTGAAACCCAGGTGATTCAAGAGCTCGAAATCCTCCAAAGCTACAATCGGCCACTGGACCCCGCCACTGAGCCGCCTTCTTCGCCGCCTCCTCACCTCGACCCACTTTCACTCCGAATCCGATATCCCCTTACTTTGGTACATCTGGTTAATAGCTAACGAAGGAGAAGGAGGCCGTCCGGCCATAGAGATCTGTAAGCGGATGGATTTGGATTGGGGGTTTGAAGGCGAGGGAGGAGAGGGAGGCCTACGGCCATTGTGATAGAGAGATCTGTAAGCGGATGATTTGGATTGGGGTTTGAAGGCGAGGGAGGGAGGAAGCCATTGGTAGATCTGGTTCACTCACATAGATGATACCAAATATTGATTGCAAGGCCATAGATATTGATTGGGGGTTTGAAGGAGAGGGAGGCCTCGCGAGGAGTTGCTAGGGCACGCTTGGACCAATCCTGTCCTGCGTTAGTTTACTGTACTTGGGTTCCTACACTACTTTAAAAGTTTTTGAGGAATTTGATTAAGCTATTGGTTGTAGATTTATCAATTTACAAAAAATGTATTTGACAATTCTATTGGCAACCTGGGAAGAGTTCTGTATTTGATACAAATAGTTGTTTGCTTTCTTTCCGGTTGGTCTCTTCGTATTTGATGGCCCTCGTGCCATTGGAATGAATTTGTTAGCGGTTGTTGCGGTTTGGTAATCGCGAATTTTTGCTCAAATCACAAATCAAACGACTATTTACGGTATGGTGATTTCTGAAACCGTAAACCGACCGTTTTTTGCGGTTCCGTAAAAACGGTCGGTTACCGTGAATTAACGGTTTAAAACTACAAGTTCTTTTTGTGTCATAAAAATATAATCTTCCACATTTTAGGCCTAATTTTGCTTCCTTTGAAGCCTTTTGATTTTAAGCATACTTTAATCCAAAAATATAAATTCACAACCTCAACTTCTCAAGTATATATAAATTTACAACCTCATCAACTTCTCAAGCATTCACAACCTAAAGAAAATTAAAGTTACAATTCCAAGCATTCCAATTAAAGTTAAACTTTTCAAGCATTTACAAACTCAACTTCTCAAACATTTCAATTCCAAATCCTTTAAAGTTACAAACCAAAAGGAAAATGCAATGCAAATGAATTAAAGTTACAATCCAAAGAAAAATTCCAATTCAAAGTTAATTAAAGTTACAAACTAAAAGGAAAATGCAATGCATCAACGTTACAAACTCAAGTGTTGGTGGTGGTGAGTGGTGAGTGGATTTGAAGGACCCCATTGTGTTGTTTGAGCATCAATGCTATCTACAAAATGCAAATTTTTTATATATATATAGATATAGTCGCGGTTTGCGGTAACTGCAAGTTTTGAAAATCAAATACCGCAACTGCAACCGTAAATGCGGTTCTGTTCTTCATACCGCAAATGCGGTTCGGTTTCCAGTGATTGCGGTTCCATTACGGTATATTGTCGGTTGGTTTTTGCGATTTTTCAGTTTAAAATGCCGCCCCTAGAATTTGTTACCGTCCACAAAAAAAAAGAATCTCATTTCTTGTTGTGTTTCTACTCTTCTGTATATTGGGATATGGAATCAGACCCTTACTGATCCATTTGCAAAATAAAAAATAAAAATAAAAACCTCTAAACAAGATGAAGAATTTGATTTGGTGAAGAGAAGATTAGGTTTTACTTTTAATGTTTTTTTCTTTTTAATGTGCGGTGTTACTTTTATGATGCATATTTGATAAACAAATTTTCATATTTTTTTAGTTGGAGTCTAATGTAATGTGTGACATAGTATGATTACGATCTATATTAGATCATTGGTCACCATTGACAGTCTAATATATTATGTTAAAACGGTCTAAAAATTCAACATTGCAAAATCTTTCGACAAAAAGAACATTACATTTACTAGTTAGTAATGTTACCAAACACATTAACATGTTTTGCATGTTGTCTAATAAGGTTCATAATGTTAATTCTCTCTCGTTTGTTTGGCATAGCAACTATGACAGAAGAATGCCAGTTCTCTCTCCTAGCCACATTTATTTTCTTTGTACAGATAGTTGAGAAATCGGGCCGGAAATTGGCATAAATTCTGCATGGAAGACAAAATGAAAGCCTAGTGTGGGAAAACTTGTTGGGCTTGAAAGCTTCAAAAGATTAAACTATATGGGCCTCATAGATAAAATCTGCTGCAATAGAAACCGAGCGCTTGATTGTAGAAAGTATGGTGAAGGAAATTATTCAGAAACCTCCAGAAGAAACCCACTGTATAAAGACAAACCAAAATCAAAAGTCAAAAGAGAATTGAATGGCCTCGGCAGCAATCTCAGTGAGGCCACTGATATCAGCTCAACACAAAGCAAACGCAGCAACCAGATTCCTCACATCTCGGAGCAATACCCATCCACCATCATCACCATATAAATGGACCCAAAACGACACCGCAAGCAATGCTGCTAGTTCTGCTCTTCGACTCGTCCCCCATCTCCATAATCTTCGCCATCATCTTCTTCATCCTCCTCTTTCGATTTGCCGTCTTCTTCTTCTTCCTCACCCTCCTCTTTCTCCTCTGCTCAGACCTCGTCCACCTCTTCTTCGACATTATCTGCCCCTGATGACCACTCCCCCGGCCGCCTCTGATTCCACCCGGTCCTCCTCAGCCTCCTCCAAAACGGTGCGTACGTTTCCAGTCTCCACCTCTCCTCTTGCATTTTATGATCAGTCTAGAGTAATGGGTCTCTCTTAATTTATTCTTCTCAATGTAAAATTTTCGATCATTAGCATTTTTGTTCAGTTTGCAGTAATGGGTCTCTCTTAATTTACTTTTATAAAGTGTTAAAAAATCGGTCGGCATTTTTTTTTCCTGACTTTAAAGAAAACCTAGGCACGCTGTCGCCTCCTCTCTCTCTCTCTCTCTCACGAGTCGACCACCACCACCAGCCCTCGACGACCCCTTGCCCACCCGCGACCCTCTCTCTCTGTGTAATCTATGCTTTATAAAAAAAAAAAAAAAAAAAAAAAAAAAAAAAAAAAAAAAATCCTATCAATGTAAAATTTTAGTCTTTAGCATTTGTTGTTCAGTTTAAACCAATGGGTCTCTCTTAGTTTTATTGTTCTCAGTGTTAAATTCTGATCTTTTGCATTTTTTTATTTATCAGTTTTTAAGTAATGGGTCCCTGTTAATTTCTTTTTCTCAATGTAATATTTTTGGTTTTGGGTGTTTAGGTGAGGCTTGTGGTAAAGGGGAGGGTGCAGGGTGTGTTTTACAGGAACTGGACAATTGAGAACGCAACCCAATTGGGCTTAAAAGGTTGGGTTCGGAATAGAAGAGATGGGTCTGTGGAGACTCTGCTTTCTGGGAACCCTGATGCGGTTCAAGAGATGGAGCAGAGGTGTCGACGAGGTCCTCCATCTGCTGTGGTCACTGGGCTCGAGGTCTTTCCCAGCACTGAGGACCCTGGGGATGGATTTGAGCGCAAACAAACGGTCTGATTCATTATCCATTTCCTGTGTTAGCTAGAATGTAATATGTATAGTCTTATTCAACTCTATACTATAGATTGTCGTTCCAAGTTCTGAATAAGAGGACACATGTGCAATGTGGTTCTTGTTTAAATAATATACCTCCCAATGACTTCATATCATACATTGGTTTCTACTTTCTGTTTTGTGTTGGTATTTGTTAAAGTGGATGAGTATTTTGCTTTTGAAACCTTAAAAGAAGCTCGATGGATGCGGCGACAATCACTGCATTTTTAAGCCAAACCATTATAGACATTCATGTAAGGTTGACAGAGTGCAGATCATGGCCACTTGAGAGTTGAGGCTTAAAATTGTTTGGTAAAGTAGAGAAAGTTGCTTGCTAAAGGTATATGATGAGTTACACCACTTTCATGCATCTTTGGGTTGTTTTGCACCCTTTTAACGCTAGCAGAAAGTTGGTCTTCATTCTTGTTCTCCATCTCTCTCTAAGGTCAAGTAGGCTGATCCTAGAAAATAAAATTTCCGAACTTATTAGATTAGAAAGTTAATTGGCTGCCTTTAAAATTATATGGTTGGTTAGAAGAGTAAGATAGATATTCACTAAGGTTGAGTAGACTGATCCTCCCTTAAGCTTTGAACTGCTCCCTGGTTTGCTTGGTTGACAATCCATTGGTTTATGTTCCTTGGTTTGGAGAAGTCTTTGGCGTTAAGGGGTCATTTAGCTGTCCTAAGTCCTTAGTCAAGGAAGGTACTGTTTTCACTGGTATATCCTTTGCAGAGCTCTTGGGCATGCAATTCTCAATAATAAAATATGTAACATGATACATTGTTAAGGATGCAGGTTAGGACTTCAAATCAGATTGGTAAAATCACCATACATAATGTAAAAGAACACAAGTTGATGCATGAATAGATAAAATGTGGATGGACTCAACAATCTAATATAGGAATGAGATGTAGCTCTGTGAGCAGCTCATATTGTGTTTTTTAAGGATTCTCCCAAACCTGAGGGTGTTTACACATGTTCTGAACTCCTTTAGGGGAAAGCAATTGCTACTTACATGAATTAAGATTATCAGCGATCCCTGGAGAAGACTTTTGCTTCAATAAGGTAGAGCATCCCGATGTCCTTTATAGCAATGTTCTGGACAAAATGTACCAGATCTTTCTTCAAATCAGTTGGTATATTAAGCTTGTCTGTTGTGGCTTCTTTAATGACAGTTGTAAGCATGCTCTCATAAGATTTATGTTATTATCTTAACCCCACCTGGTGCTCTTACTAGTTGATTATGGACTGTCACGATAAGAGTTTTGTGGTATGCTGTGGTGATGAGCAAATTATGTTTTGAGTTCTAACCACCACCTACTGAAATAAAAACAACAACGTTGATGCAAGGAGCTTAGCACTACACATGCGCATGTCTGAGTTGCACTTTTTTGAAGTTTGTCGATTCATTTTCTTCTCCCAAGGTCTCCCTTCATTATTTAGAGTGGATATGCAACCTGGAAGTTTTCTCTGTAAGCTAATGTCAGTTCTGCTTGAGTGGAGATGGCTAGAATGAGAGGCGGTCTTGTAATGCCGAGGCTTGTTAGGACTTGGGAGGATGTTTCCTGAGCTTATGAAGAAAATCAAGTTCGATTCTCGCAGGAAATGCTGCTGTTGTTGGTGATTTGTGTCCATCGTTTCGTTTATAATTTTTAGAGACAGACTTGAGTGATTAAGTCTAGTTTATGGTATGACCTTGACACTATCAACATTGAACCCTTTTCTAGTTGTAATAATTCATGTGCCTCAGGATTGAATACCAACTTTACGGCATGACCTTTACGGAGACAAGAATATGACCTACCAAACAGAATGAAAGCTCAATCTAAACCTCTCATTGAAGCTCATTTCATTAAGTGATAGAATAAAGAGAGATAACAGCGTTAGCCGGTGGGGGACCCGGTTGGATCTCCTCCGTCTGGCGGCAAATTCACTCACGGTTGAATTGAACCCATGCCGTCCTTTTTGGCTTGGAAATATCCTTCATGTACCGGCTCTCGTTACTCTCGTTTCCCTTTCTTCTCGTCATATCAACGCAGTAATCAAACCCCTCACTCGGTTTGAGGAATACCTTACAGAGTTGTAGTTCGGGAAATACCTTACCGTCGAGATGTTGTTAATGTACCTCTTCTCTGTATTGGTGCTTGTGACTAGTAATATTTTTGATAGAAACAAAAAACGAACCCCTTAAAAAAAAACCTCAGTGAACATTTTATACAACTTGCACATGACTGTTGCTTTAATTCCGGTGGAATAATCGATCCTCGATCAGATATGAAATGGCTGGATAATGAACACTAGGCCTTCTTTCTGAGAGGTACTTTTTGTCCTATAATTCGTATAAAATGCTACCAGGACCCCGATTACAAGTCATAACAGCCAAAAGAAAGGTACATCAAAGATCCCACTACATTGGACCCAGAAAAAGGTGAAAGGGGTGTACTGACATCGATAAGTCGATTAAATTACACATGCGTCCGTCCCATCTTAACTTGGCTTTTAGGATTTGGAGACAATGTTGATGGTGAATGAGTCATGGTAAGTGGGTTGGTGACAAGTATAACCTGGCAATGTTTTCTTGTCACATCATACTGTTAATTTAAATCATGATAAAATATGAATTAATTTGATCATGATTTAGATTCATTGATCTCAGATACCATATAAAATATGAATATGGTTTGAATATTTTAGATTTTATACAAAAAGTCTCGATTTTATTAAGAGTATAATCATTTATTATATGAGACATTTGGTTAAGTTAGGGACAATATCGATGTTGATAGTGGTAGGTCAAGAATCCCCCCTCTGTAATCTTAACATATACATACACTATTCTTAAATTGATTGATTAGTAAAAGAATATTTTCAAAATGAATTGTGCTAGCCTTTATACACGTGACTGACATTAACACAACTCTTATTTATGTGAATCCTTACACAAGAGTAAGTCCATGTACATATATTTGCTGCCATGCCAGGAGTGATTTGTAGTTGCCATCAGCGCAGAGGTTGAACAGGGAAATATGAAGGAGCAGCCAAATGATGAGATAAAGCAGCACCATGGAATGACCCCTTCCCATCCCTTTTGATTAGAAACGTGACCATCTTCCCCTGCCCATTAGGCAGATCCAGATACATTATAGGTCATCCAAAGTAATGCCTTTATGATTTTTTAATGCATTCAATTGTAAGATGCAGAGCTGATTATGTATTTTCATACTGAATCCAATGATAAGAGTTTCTTCTTTTAACAATTCTACAATTTAGAGAAGTATAACAAAAACTTAACTCCAACTATGCTTCATATTCAACTCCTAAAGTAGTAAGATCTCGAGGTGCTCCTAAATTTGAGAAGAGAAAAACGGATCCTAATGGCTCATATTCATTGTTAAATCAAAATTAAGTTAATAAAGAACTAAAACATTTGACTCCTTAAATGATGATAAAATTTGTGTGATGAGAGAGAGAGATATATAAGGTGTAGTCTCCAGTTAGAGCTAGCTCTTGTTCTGAAAAAGTCATGGGTTCCACACCTCCAAACCCCACATCCCTTACTTATTTGTTGAACTTGAATTGTATGAGTTTGCTTATCTTTATCCATCACGTGGAAAATGAAACCGCAATTGAGTACAGTGTTATCTTGATGTACATTGTTAGTCAATTTCCTATAACAATTGACCATTTTGAGTTTATTAGTTTCCTAAAAGATTCAGATGCTTCTTTTTCATCAAATATTTCTGTTGAATCAGTAATTTGGGCCTAATATTACATGTTTAGCAAATATAGAGAGGCATTTTGTTGAGCAAGTTTCTGCCGCTTCTTCCTGAATTAATAATATTGATTTCCCAAATATGTGTACCACAGACGTTAGCCTACTCGTCCAATCACCGGCAATAGTCAAATAAATATAAAATAAAGTGGATCGCGGTTGATCATATGAACATCGCTTTTACTGCTGCTTGTCTCTAAGACTAAGACTAAGAAACACCAATTCTCTTCTCGCCGACACACCAAGAAACTTTTTACTTCCATACACCACAGTAACTACACAGAAACAAGTGGGTAAAAAAATAATGCAGGCTCCCGCAGCACTAATTTTACCATAAATTAGGAAAGTAAGTCTTGTGTATTAGTAATGTTCCTATGTAAACTTGTCTTGCACTCCAAGACATTTGGATTTTCTTGTGTACCAAGTAGTGTAGAGAGAGTTTTGTATACATGTCTTGTATTTGTTTAATGAAAGATCGGCTTAGTGGCTCGGCACATGCTTTTCTCTCATTCTCCTTATTCTTTCATGTCTCAATCTCTCATTATTCTTCAATAATATATAAGAATCATTGATCGGGACTCAATATATTATTATGTCTAATAGTGCAAGATAATCATCTGCTTAACTATTTTGTATTCATCAACGTTAATTTATGTGAATTTCATGTCAACTTTGTGTTAGTATGATTTTTTTAATCTTTATTAGATTGATGTACGGGTTCATTTTTCTCACGATATAGTATTTTAGATTTATAAATCACAGTTAGACTTATTCATTTTGAATATGAATCTCAATTTTTTGTCAAAATGTAATATGATTAAAAATAAAAAAATCCGTGTGAATTTCGTGTTAATATTTTGTAAAGTTTTGAATCACTGTACAAAATTTTACCGTCAGATCAAAGTCCCAATTCCCATCACAAACTCACAAATCATTAAACAAACTCATCATCATCATGAGTGATGAGATGAGAAGAGTACCGCGTGAGGACATTTGGATGCGATGTTGACTCATCAAAACGTTTGCATTAAATGACTTGTCGTCCATGGCACCTACATTAGATGCAAAATGGCTCCACAATGAAACAGAAGTTTCCTTCTTTTCCCACTCTGGCTTCCTTCTCAAAAACCCACTATAAAACACACCCTCCACAGAAAATCACCATCACCCATCAAAATAAACAAAGCAAGCAAGCTCTTGAGTCCAAGTCCTCAACACACAATAATATGTCTACACTGAAAATCCGATCAAAGAAACCAGACGACATTCGAGGTATGGTGACGCTGAGGCTGCTCATTCGGAAGCTTGTGCGGAGGGGTCTCTCCATTTTATCAGCCAGAGGCTTTCATCACCACAATGATTTTGATGAAGCCACAGTGGTGCCAGAAGATGTTAAAGAAGGGCATTTTGCTGTCTTTGCAGTGAAGGGCAAGGAGGCAGAGAGGTTTGTGGTGAAATTAGAGTCCTTGCAAAACCCTGAGTTTTTGAGGTTGCTAGAAGAAGCTGAGGAAGAATATGGATTTGAACAGAAGGGGGCTCTTGCTGTTCCTTGCAGGCCAGAGGAGTTGCATAAGATTTTAGAGAACAGGAGGGAGAAGAATAGTAGTAATAATAATATTAATCTTACAGTTATACAAGGATACTAGCTAAGCTAGCTACCCGAATGACCACATTTTCATGTATGATTTATTAGCCATGTAAATTTCTTTGTCTAATTATTTCCTCTGTTATATGTGCTCTTTTTGCACTGGATGTAGACAGATTTCTGCATGGAAAGAATATAAGAAAAATTCATTCTCATATCTTATATCATTTCTTCCTTCTGAGGTAAGCAGAGTGGGTTGGGGAAATGGGATGACAACAATTAAGTATGATCTGAAAATAATCATATTGGAAGATTTTTGCCTTATTGAAGCAAGAGCTATGCCTATCCGAACTTCCACTACTTTCATTCAGTTTTTTAATTTTTCTGTGCCTGTATGTTGAACCAATACCATAACTTTTTTTCAACAATGACAAAGTTTAATTTAAATTTAAATGCTTAGAATTTGAGGCGGCCAAGGGGAGAGCGGTAGTTTACTTTGTGGCGGATGTTAGCAGTTCGAATTTGTTTATCTTCACTTCAGGCCGAAATGTTGCTATGTTTTTCTCTTTTTTCTTTGTCGCATTAATGATCAAATCCTTAAGCCTTAGCACTTCTATTTTCTAGAAAAAATATTTTCGCATTTATTTTAGACTCATATGTCTTGTAGTATGACACACTCTAATGCGGGATGTGAGAGGACGTTCAAACACTCATGATTTAGTGTTGGGACACTCATCATAAGCATCGGAACCCTCACTCTGGCCCACATTAGAGGATTCTTAATTATACTAATACAAAAGGAGAGGTGCTCCTATAAAATACTACACATGTAAACCGAGTGGAATATTATTGATTCCGGCAGAACACCGATTCTTGCCGTGTTTGGCCAGGTAGTACCAACACGTTTGGTGCTTTTTTTTCTTTTCTGAAAAGAGAGTTGGCAATGGACTAATGATCTGATCATGAGACTTATGACGGTGGCAACCAACCAACTCCTCCGTTAGCAGTTGTTTTCTTTTTTCATAATTATTTCTTTATTACACAAAGGTTTATTCCAATTGTGTTCATATTATTACTTTTTTATTAGTAGTTGGTTAATTTTATATTCACAATTAGGTCTTGGTGGACCCTATCTATTTGGACCTTGAAAGAACTTGCATTTTAGTGCATACTGTGAAGTCCATAGTCCTTCCCTTGACTTTACATGCCGCCTCCACACCACAAGAGGTTCAACTTTTGAGATCAACCCATGTGTAAGCAAAGTCTTGGGGCACCAAAACAATGATGATTGATGACAACCCAACTTGAAAGACATTGACGGAAGTGTCTAAAAATAGTTGGTCCTGATCGTATGTAATGATTGTAACCAAAGTCTGGAAATACTTGTAAACTTAATATTGGGTAAAACCTTAAGAACCCAATCCATGACCCAAGATCTTGAACTTCATGATTTTCACAATAATATTAGGCGGAAATTCAATTAGATTTAAATTACATACATACCTTGAATGATTAGTCTTCTACCATATCAAGATATTTGTCTTGAGCAATCCGTAGGCGAGTCGTCAGTGTGGAGGAAATAGATTTCTCTCTTTAGCCTTTTGCACGTTTAGAAAACCCTAATCCGTGTCTTCATCAGTGTACACATAAAATGGGTATGTGCACTATTATAGGCAGAGAGAGGACCCATTTCCTAGTGAAGCCCATAATCAATTACCACCCATCACGATAATAATAGGAAACTACTTCTCTTTATTTGACCAATATAATTATTCTGAATAATATTTATTAAACCAATTAAACAATTTATTTACCACATAGGTCACTTCATGTGGGCCACACAAAATATTTATAAAATATTCTTACATTCTCCCACTTGGCCCATATGATAAATTTACTTTATGGTTCAATAAATAAACATTAGGCGCGCGATACATTCAGAATAATCCTCACTTTCATATGGTCGACATAAATACCACATTTAAGCAAATGTCTAATGCGAGTCATGGCGGTTATGCATCAATAAGCGATACAGTCCCTTCCATGTACCACAACATTAGCAAATCGCCTAAAACAGTCCATAAGTGAGAAGTATCATAAAAGGTCCAATAATGTCTTTGTCAGAGACTACTCCTGTTATCATTCATCCAATCTCATTCATGTATACATATAAGGGAAAACAGGATATAACAGAAACATATTCAATTATTGAGCTCAGAGTGTCAAAATAAATAAACTGTCATTATGCAAACCACAACTTCATAAATACTATCATGGTTTATAACCAAGAACAGTCCTCTGAATATAACTATTAATGTCTTTGGCCAGAACCTTTTACTTGGTTTGCAAGCATAAGTTTTGTCTTTATAGACACTCTTTGTTTCTGAACCTCCTTAATGACAAGGTATTTAATTCCATTATGTTTAGCACTCTTAGAACACTTGTCATTCTTGGAGAAAAGGACAATTGCGGTATCAACATAAATTCTTAGCGGCGTGGCAATAAAACATAAACACCAAGTCCTAAGATTAAAACCTGCAACTTCAATTCATCAACTATGGCCTCAAAGCAAACCATATATGCATAATGAATTCTCATTGTACTGTTAATGTTCCAATTCACTCTTATGGGCATTGCATAATGCTAAACTTGTCCCCTTCCTGAATTGGAGCAACATTAATGGATAAACATTATTCCATATCATGTCTCTTTAGAACACTTACAATATATGCTTAATGAGACAAACTTAACAATTCATGTGATCCATTCTAGAATATTTCAATTCCAATCACAAAAATTGTCTCATCCATATATTTCATTCAAGGTTCTTAGAGAAAAGCTTAATGGTTTCAACAATGAAAACCAAGACCAATACATAGCAAGCAAAATAGCATAAATATCCAAAATGAGAAATATAAACTTACTCCCACTGACCTTGAGATACATACAACAATTAATAGTGCTTTCATTAAAATTAAAATTATTAATTTTATATAATGAATTCTTCAGTTTACAAAGCATGTGTTTCTTTCAATAAAAGAAAAGTCCTCAGGTTCATTCATGCAGACTTCTCTATTAAACACTCATCTAATCTTTTATCTTTCACATCCATACAATGTAACTCTAATTCATAATGAGTTACAAATACCATTATATGATTCCAAGTGAGTCATTCTTAGAAACAAGTGAGAATGTCACTTTATAACATATGCCGTCTTTCTCAGTAAAATCGTTGGCCAATAGTGTGTCTTTATATCCATCTATATTGCCATTGGAGTTGTATGTAGTCATAAAGACACTCTTACACACAACTCGTCCTTTGCAGGCAAATCGATGAAATCACAAACTTCATTCCGGCAAATTGATTTCAACTCATCATTCATGGCATAAATCTATTTAGTATAATCAATATATGTTTAACGACATGTGAAAGTAAAATCAAAATCTTTCTTAACACTCATAGTCAGATTCTTGTAGATATACCAAGTAATCACTTAAAGTAGCAGATACCAACAAGCTTAATGTCTTGATATCATCTTAATGCTATTCTTTGTGGGTCTCTACTACACTTTTACTGGTGAAACAGTCATAATGGAGTGATTAGTTATTCATTAATTTGTTGTTCATTGTTGTTAAAACTGTTCACAACTATAGAAACAACAATTTCACTATGAAGTATGCATGCAAAAAAATTTGCACACTAACTTTTCATATAAAACCAATTTTCTTGGTTATCCACTCCCACTAATTTCACCATTTAAAATGAAACTGACGTTACTGATTTCAATAATCTCATACCCTGGTTAGGACAATAAAATCTATACCATTTGTACTTTTATAGGTAACCAATAAGGTTATCAGAAAACATTCTGAAGGTCCAATCCCTTCTCATGTGAACATTACATTCTTACTCCCACTAAGCAACCCAAAACATAATGGTGCCTTAAATTGGATTTCCTTACTTTCCGCAGTTCAAATAATTTCTTATTTGAAACTGCCTTAATAGGAACCCAATTAGCATAATAGTTGTAGTAAGAACATGTATCCATAATGGTATACGTAATGATAAATTACTTCATATACCCCTAACCAAAAGACAGAGCATTATAAGGTGAACACATGTTTTATAAATAATTTCAGTTAGCTACAAATTTATTATGGCATCTTTCTTGGTGTATTTAAATTGTTTTCCTTAATACAATCCACTTACACACCAATAAGAGATCAATAAAATATAGGTTCAGAAGAACCTCATTCCTTACTGATCCCTTAGTTCTTTCTCTGAACACATTACCATTCATTTATGCCATAAGAACATTAAATTTCAATTTGTCAAATAGCAGTCACTTCTAAATCAATCATGCAAAGTATCAAAAACATTTAAAGAAAAAAAGTCATCAAACTTTAATTTCGTAAATCATTAATAGAATACCACAATTAACAAAATAGGCATTCTTTAAGAGACTAAAATAGTCATCACCAACCTTTAAAGGATAAAACATTATTGCCAAATTCCAAACAAAATTCCAACTAGATTTGAAACAGTAAGAACATAATACGCTTTCAATAAATCTAAATCATGGCCATTAAATTGAATATATAATTCCAAAAAGTGAAATCAAAAGCAACTTTGCATTGAACTGTTAGAAACATGAATTTTAGCACATAATTTAATCCATCAAGCATCATATGAAAATTCATCTAAAAATTGATTCGAAACACATAAAAGCGGAAGACTTACCTTTCTTTTCGAATCATATTCTGTAAATGCTTCACCTTCTACATAGGTGAATTTCATTTTCCTTCTTCTTCATCTCAAGGACTTCAGTTTTGCTGCTAAATCAGTATGCTCAATAATACACTCATTCATGCTTTGCAAACCATCAAATTTCATGATGGTAAGGTCAACCAATATTGTCCATGTAATGGATTTGTTAGCAATTCTCAAGAATTCTTTAGCATTATTCACATTAATGGAGCATAGCCTTAATTTATGTTGCAATGTCTATTTATTTGCATAAACATAAAGCTCAATATGTTTGATCTTTTACAGGCTCTTTA